AATTTTTTTTTTTTTTTTTTTTTTGTACTGGGGATCGAACTTGGGTCCTTGCACTTGCGAGGCAGGCACTGGAACCACTGAGTCAAATCCCCAGCCCACTTTAAGTCTTGAGAAGTCCACTGCATTTAAAAAATAGTAAATCTGTTTGTCAAAGCTAGGTCATTAGTGTAACAATTAGGTGGCTGCTGATATTTTCTTTCTGAGGTCTCAGAAAATGGACAGTTCTCTCATTTGCCATCTCCGGACAAAAACAAATCTGGCAGTGCATCGTTGGTGAGGATATGCCATCAGTGAGTTCAGAAAAGAGGAGGGGAGGCCAGAAAATGTTGCCTGTTTCATATTCATAATGTGTCTCCTTCCCTCCAAGTTTTCTAGGAGCTACCAAAATTCCCAAGGCGGGGGTACGAGCTTTGGCCTGTTACCCCTCCAGACTCTCCGCCCTGTCCATTTCCTGTGGCCCTGGGAAGGACAGCACAGTGATCTGCTTTGTCTATGAACTTTAGTGTAAAACATTTATATACAGGATTGTTCTCTAACTCTTGCAAAGGCAGCAGCCACATCCGCACGTGGACAGGCATGATTGTCACCAAAACCAACTGTTCACTCGCACCAGCAGGTGGCTCCATTGCGCAGAGTCGCAGTTGTGATGACGGCGTGCTCGTTCGTGTTCCGTGGCTTGGTGACACTATCACAGGCTTAGAAGGGTGCATGATCTGGCAGGGGCTGGTCAGCACTCCCCACTGGGGAAGGGAGGCTGTCACTGCCATTCTCTCTGCCACCCACAACCTTAGACTACAGAAGGAAAAAGATCAAGAAAGCAAAACCTGAGACACAGAGGACATGCAAGGTTAAATCCTAGCCAGTTCAACTCTCTACATAAACTTAGATAAAACAAAAACTACTCAGTAGGCTTAGGTAGGAAGATTCCAAATTCTAGCCCAGCCCAGGCAACTTAGCAAGACCATTTCAAAATATTAAAAAGGGCTACTTTTAGTAAGGAGGGCTGGGATTTACATCTGGCCGGGGGAGAGGGAGGAGAAAAAAAGGACAGAGAGGAAGAGGAGTTAGTTCAGCAAGAAACAAAGGAATGTCTCACTCACTGACAAGTAAAAGCCTACCTGGATGGGTCCCCAGAGAATTATGCAGAGTGGTGAGAAAGTCAATCCCAAAGGCTACATACTCTGCTGAGCATGGCGGCACACACCTGTAATCTCAGCACTCAGGAAGGAGGCTGAGGCAGGAAGACTGCTGAGTTCGAGGCCAGCCTGGGCTACACAGATGAGTTCAAGGCCAGCCTGAACTACACAGCAAGACTCTGCCTCAAACAAAACAAAACAAAAAAACTATATACTGCATGTCCACTTATGTGACATTCTTCAGGTATCAAAATTCGAGAGACAGAGAAAAGATAAGGGGTTGGCAAGACAGGGACAGAGAAGGTAAATGTGGCTGCAAGAGGCATAGAGCAATTCTGGTGGGTGTGGATGTTCTCTGTCTTTGTGCCCTGATGTCATCATTGGAACAAACCCCATAAAAGGTACAAGAAGCCTCTCTGAATATCATCCTACAATGAGTGCGTCTACAATAAACAGAGGGTGATATGACAGGTGACACCCATGAAGAGAACTGTCTAGGGACAATTACCTTTATGGTCCCCATGCGGTCTTCAAATGACTTGAAGGTGGCAGAGTTCCTTTAAAGAGAAACGGAAGAAAGAGGTGTTGGTATAAAGAGCAACCTCAGTGATACCCTCTTCAATCTGAAAGGCTTCAGAGCAAGGCTCCTGTCAGAAGGAGACAGCATCTTGAACTCTTGCTGCAAAAAATGTGAACCACACCACTTTTGGGGGCGGTACCACATAAGGAGTCCAGCCAGTGTTGGGCAACTCTCCAGGTTAGAACTGATGCCTGCCAGCTGAGTCAGGCTCAGATGTTACACAGAGGCACTGCAAAAAGATTGCTTGGCACATTCTTTGTTTTGTTTTTTTTTTTTTTTTTTTGGTGCCGGGGATCGAACTTGGAACCTTGTGCTTACAAGGCAGCAACAGCACCACTGAGCTAAATCCCCAGCTCTTGGCACATTCTTGCCACACTTTAAATGGACACCGTGGGAACCCAGGCAAAGTGGCACATACCTATAATCCAAGCACTTCAGAGGTTGAGACAGAAGAATCTCTAGTTCAAAGTTACCATGGGTTACAAAGCTCATGTCTCATCTCCCCCCACCAAAAATGGGCCTGGCTCTTCTCCACTGAGACTGTAAACAGTTCTAGAGTCTTTCACTCACATCTCTCATAGAAGCCACATGAAAGAATCAGAATAGTAGAAGTGTTCTGGAAAAGCACAGGGATAAAATCACAGAGGAGAAAATAGGCCAGTCCCCATCCCATGGCTTCACATAACTGGATCTCCAAGACTCCCCTGATGAACCAGGAACAGTGGTGCATGCCTGTAATCCCAGCAGCTGGGAGGCTGAGGCAGAAAGATCACAAGTTCAAGGGCAGCCTATACTACATAGCGAGACCCTGCCTCAAAAACCAAACAAACAAAAAACCACCTTCCTTGATAAGAATGAGCTGTGCTGAGCCACGCTGTGCTTGACCAAGCAGGTGAGGACCAACAGACCATGCTGCACGTGAGGCCTCCAGAAAGGCCTCCCGTAGAGGTTCCGTTATCTATGTGCCAGCCTCACCACCCTCTGCCTACTGACCCTGCAAGGAACCAGGGCCAGAACCTGGGAATTTCAGTGTAGAGCCCAGTCTGGCAGAATGCACTCCTATAAAGCAGAGGTCCCCAGAGTCTGTGGCCTGTTAGGAATGGGGTCACAGAGGAAGTGCGTGGCAGGCAGGAAGACAGGCAGGTGGGGCGGGCGGGTGAAGCTTCATCTGTATTTACAGCTGTTCTCTGGTCCCTGGTGCCAAAAAGGCTGGGGACTGCTGCTCTGGCGGCCTCACAACGGGAGCCTCAGTTCCACGTGTTCTTCCTCACCAGCCTAAAGGGATCTTTCCTAGTCCGTGGAAGCTGTCAGGGGTATGGGCCCTGCATTTGGGGATAGAACCAACACAAGGCATAACTGATGGGTGCCACCCTGCCCCCACCCAGAGACACCACAGCTCTGGAGCAAGGAGCAGGCAAGCATACTTTACCTCATGACCGGCATACTTATCGAGTGGCGGATGGAGTAGCTGCTACTTGGAAGCATGGTAGAAGCAGAGAAGGAGCAAGTTAGCACAGGACACCAGACTGGCAAGCACTTGCCGGTACTTGCAAGCACTGGCTCACAGGTAAACCAACTTCACAGGGTGGAATAGGGACCCCATTCTAGGCAGAAATGGAATGAGTCCCCCATACATAATGCCAGAAGGAAAACCAACCCAAGATTCCTCTCCAAAACCCACAAAGGTATCCAAGGCCACTAGGTAGAGTAGCACTGCTAAAGTAGAACAGTAAAATAGGTAAAATGTAAGGAATCTACATCTGGGGCTTTTGAAAGCATTTGATCCATAGAGGTTTCAGCTATTTCACAGAAAGGTAAGTGATCTCTGGGCAAAAGAAAAACACTCAGGTTAATTAAAAATAAAAGTCCCAGATTGATCTGCCTTTGTTCCAGCTGTAGGGTGGCAGTGGGGAGTACATGTCCACGCTGGCCAAACAGTGCATTTTGTCATCACAAGTGAATGGAGCCCTGGGGAGGAATGTCTAAGGGTTTTCAGGTAATAAATGAGACAAAACTCAACCTGAGGGACAGGACTGCTGCTCAGGGGACAAGGAAACAAGACCTGCATTTGAAAAGGTGAAAAGCAAGAGGGCTAGTGTCATTCCCCTATGTGAAGTGCTTATTTTCAGGAATAAATCCAAGTGCAGATGTTGTGATGCACTTACTATATGAGGCGGGATCAGCCACTGGCCACCCCAGGAACAGGTAGCCAAATACACCCAAATGTGAAATACTCGGAGAGGACGGTGTGTCAGGGAGGCCAGGGAAGAAGTCCCTGCATGGATATGTTGCTGGCCAACAGCCTTCAAAGCAGTGATGGTATGGTATGGTGAGTGCTACCACCCTGAAGGGTGCTCTTCCACTGCCCCTCCCACACACCTCCACCCAGCATAGCCTCCCAGGGACCGTCCACAATCTACCCTGTCCTGATTCAGAGACACACCTTCCATAGTGTGTCCAGGGTCAGTCTTACCTAAAGGAGTGTGAGAACGGATGAGCCCTGGAAGCGGCAGCAGAAAGAAGAAAGGTAGTGTAGTAAGTAAAGGCGGCTAGTGCCCACCCAGACCCTCACCTCAGCCCCAGGCCCTTCCGCTCTCGTTCTCGAAGGCTGAGCAGGGGTAGGTATGGAATGGGACTCCGTGACTGCTCCTGCAGCGCTCATATGAGTGGGACACATGGCCCGTCTGACACTACAAGAGGTCCCTCAGAGTACAATCAGCAACCTGTGGCCCCTGGTTCTATCTCCTGGTGATGGTCCTATGTCCAAGAGGCTCCTGTGCCCACGTCCTAGTGGAGCTTAAAGGGGAGAAGCCAAAAAGAGGACCAAAAACAGTCTAGAAGGAAAGGGGCCCTATGAACAGCACAAAGGCATGAGATGAGCCAGCTGGGCCAACACTCCACAATCAGAATGGGCTGTTCTCCAAGCTTAACTGGAACACGAGCACCCTGAGAGATGGGGACATCCTCAGGGCAAATGCGCACCTCTGCTTTGGGTTCTACATCCCAAACAGAGGGTTCCCAAGAAATATGAAGTCCAAGAGGAGCTGCTGCCCTGGGGGCAGTGGAACTGGACACTCCTCTGTGGTGCAGTGGGTTCTCCACCTCTGACATACTAGAAGCCAAAACAGGAAGACATTCCCAACGTGGAGAGAACCACTGAAGAACATGCTCAAAGGCAGGACTTGGGCCAGGGATTTAACTCAGTGGTTCTACTGCCTGCCTCGCAAATGCAAGGACCCGTGTTTGATCCCCAGTACCAAAAAAAAAAAAAAAAAAGCAAGACCTGCCCTCTTGTCCATGGTCACCAAGCTGATGGGGAGGCTGGCAGAGACCATTCTCTGACCTGCATCCAGTTCATCCTTCCCTTTCCTCATCTCCTCTGGTCCTAAGGCATACCACAGGCCTCTTGGGGCCAGGGATGCCCCAGGACAGGTCCATCGTGGACACAGGTATTTAGGCAAAGGCTTGGATGCAGGGGGCAGGAAGAACTCACAAGGTCTACTACTAAGCTGTCGGCTTCCTGAGCCTGCTTCTTTTTTTTT